TCGCCAGTACTATGAAAAACAAAATACTGCTGAAAGTTACACACTCCATTTGTAGGTAAATCCTACGAACCAGAACTGAGTCACATGGCCACATCTTGTGGCAAAGAGGTTTGGAAATGTAGTCTTTGTTCTGAATTGCTAGCTAAAAAGTGAGAGTTGTGTTATTGTAAAAATACCGTGATTGAAGAACGCACAATGTCCGCCTCAGGAACTATTGAAAGGGTTTTGTTTTTAGTAAGGGCAGGACCTGATCAAGTCACCAGTAGAGGAACTTCAGTTTGGTGACTGAAAGCAAGAAGGTGCTAGAGACGAAGAGAGTGTAGGCAAAGAGGCAGTTTTGTGAGTTCAGACAGGTGCTGTGGCCATGAAACAGGACAGTGGCAGAGGCGATAGAAAGGAGGGTGTGGCTTCGTCACGTGGTTTGTGATAAGAAAAGCAGTGCCCTGTGCGTGTGGCCGGGAGGTGAGGGGAAGGAAGACATCTGCAGTATAAGGCCCCTTTCCAGAGAGGGGCCTTGGGAATGCATTGACATCCACTGACTTGGGGAGCTCAGGAAGATCTCAGCAGGGAGAGAGAAGTGAACTCTGGGAACACTGGTTTTAACGTGAAGACCTGGGAACCTCCAGAAGGAAGCTCTAGGGTGCTCCTGCTTCCCCAAGTGCTCAGCAGGAATGGGCAGTTAGTCTGGTTGGTAGAGGGTAGGAGAACAAGAGGCACATTTGAGGAGGCGGGGGCAGGTCAGACCCTCATCCTCTCCCCTATACTGCCAGTGGAGTTCTTTTTGCCACAGGAGCTGCTAAACAATTCCCCAGAGTTTCAAGACAGAAGTTCAAATTCCCTCTAATTAAAAGGAGCGGATCAGTGTATTCCTGGAGTCTGCTGCTGCTGGAGAACAGAAGGGAGGGGGTTCCCAAATTCACAGCCAAGCCTTTAGGCTGCAACATCCAGACTTGGAGGGAGGTGCTGGGGCCCTGGGGAGGGGCAGCCACGTGCCAGCTGGCTGTGCCAAGTGAGAGAGCCGCACGCCTGGGGTTCTGCCATGTGTTTGTTTATTTGGTTTGGCTGATGTATAACATACACACACAGCCTCACAGCCCCAGGGCCTGTGTGTGGAGCCCATGTTCAGCCCTCAACTAAGATCAGAAACAGCGCAGAAAATGAAGGAAGCCAACATAGCAAACACAGCCAGGTAGCAGAGTTGGTTTGTCCTTTCATTCATTTATTTATTCATTCACTCATAGAGCAGATGAATGCCAGATGGGAATGCAAGGCACTGGAGCTAGAAAGCAACACAGTCCCCGAGGAGCTCAGTACAGGGTCAGGGGATGGAGACAAAGAAAGAGGTCATTTTAGTGCAAAATGAGAAATGCCTGATGCATATCACGGCACGTCTCTGGCCTAGTGATTTCATAGCTTAGAATCATGCAGATTTCCTTCCCTCACCCCTGTCCAGGAGTTCACAGGCCTGACAAGTGTACTTCACAACCCGACCATGCTCCAAATTCGAGTATCTCAATAGCCCCAGGATCATACTGTGTGTCATGTTGCCTGATATCTGCACACTATTTCCCTTGATGATATCTGCACACCATTTCCCCTGCTTAATTGGGGTTCCCTCTCTTCTCTGGCGCTTCCCACCCAGCTGTGAAGGTCCACTGTGATTACGTCCTGGTGGCCACCTTTTGGGACCTCCTGGCATCTCCCACAATCTTTACTATTGGCCCTGAGCACTTGCTACTTTTCTAGTTCAAGTGCTTATTTCCCTGTGGCCTGTGAGCAGCTACCGGAAGAACAGATTTTATCCCCACCTCCGTCCTGGCAGCCGCTCGATGACTGGCACAGAAACATTCTTCCTAAATGCTTGTCCAAATGAACGGATGTATTTTAGTGCCACCATGGAGAGCCTCAATTAAAGTACACTGGGATCCAGGAGTCAAATGCCACTGTGATTCAGTTCCTGAGCTCTGCCACCCTGAACCAACCTCCTCATTTCTTGGAGTGGTGGTTTGCATATTCAGCCACATAAGCAGATAACAGTCCATGAGTATAATTTAGCTGAAAATTCTTTTGCACGTGTTCATCTCTCTTTCTTTAATGTACATGCTGCATTTATTATTTTCATTATTATCATTTGAAGAAGATAAGGCCCTGCCCTATGGCAATCTAGTAAGCAAAAGGATGGCTGAGTTCAAATTCTTAAAAATGTCTCTCATGAGTGTCCCACTGTGCCACCTCTCCATTTGCCCCAGCTCTCCAGACTACCCCCCCAACACCTCCTCTGAACTCTGTTCTTTGTGAGCAGTATTGCAATGTGATGAAAGCACGGGCCATGGAACCAGACCACAAGGGTTCAAATTTAGCCTCAGATGGACACGAAACTTATGTCCTTCTCAAACACATGCCTAGATCCTTCTTTCCTTCTCTCTTGGTTGGACTTCCTACCATTTCTTGAGTTTGGTGGAATGCCACGTCATAGGAATGTTATCTGGTTTCCTGAAAGTACTACTCCTTAACCTGAGACAAGGAATACTGCCCTGGGCTTCACCATGCCCGATCCATACCACTACTCTTAAAGTGAGAAATTTGAGGGACCAAGGGGATCTGTCACCTTAGCATTCTCATCCTCTTCATGCTATGGCTGCCACAATCCTCAGCCCAAATAACCTTGAGTCTTCTTCAAGGGCCTAGAGTGGCCTATGCTCCTTGAAGGTGGCTCCTTTATCAGTGTTCACACTCGGAGCTCAAGTGTGACCAAAGGGTGATTGTGAGGGCTATGGACAGGACTTTGTTCTCACATCTGGAGTTTGAGGCTGCTTATAATGTAGGGTCAAGGTGGGGGTGAGATGAATAGGGAAGCTGCTCAGGGGCCATAGATGGGCTGTGTCCTACCCACGCTACCCAACCTGGTGCCTCTGAGAATTCTGCATTTTAATGTGGGATTTCAGGTCATAACAAAAATGTGTATGACAAGATAAAAGAATAGAAACACGCTATTCATCTTTTCCTTATGTGAAACTTCTAAATATATATATATGTGAATGTGGCTCTCTGTATCAGTCAGCTTGTTTAGTTCATTCAGGCTGCGGTATAAAAAAAACTGAGAATGAGTAATATATAAACAACAGAAATTTATTGCTCACAGTTCTGGAAGCTGGGAATCCAAGATCAAGATGGTGATGAATCAGTTTCTGCAGATGGCCACTTTCGTGCTTTGTCCTTACATGGCCAGGATTGGAGTCAGTCTTTTCTTATGAAAGAAATAATCGCAAATGAAGGGTCCACCTTGATGGTCTAATTATCCCTCAAAGGCCCCACCTCCAACTTCCATCACACTGGGGAGTTAAGAATTCGGTGTATGAATTTTGGAGGATACAATCATCCATAGCATGCCTAATTATGTAATCGTGCTCTAGGCTTCACACGTGCTAGGGGTGGGCCTGAGGTAATCCCATTTGGAAGTATTCAATAATGTGCTTAGCAGGGTACTTAACTTTCTATGGAGTGATCCTTAGTCAGTGAGAAAAGGAAATCAGAGGAAGCCAGACTCATAAATACCCCTTCCCTCTCTCCTTTGTGAACTGCTCTGAGAAGTAATTCTTCCTTGGAAATCATCCAGAAATATCCCAGGTGCTGGAGCTTGCCGCCCAAGCAAGTTACTGTGTCTCAAGGAGGTTGAGGTAAAATGGAGAACAGCTGGGGTCCACGGTGCTGCATCTTTCCTCAGCTCATTTTCTTTGTAACTCATCCTCAGCTTCCCCCAAAAGTATTGCTTTTGTCCTCTTACATGCCAGCACTTTAACCCTGGCCTTGGGCTCTGCTCTCCAGAGCACCTGGCATAAAGACACTCCTCTACCACTTACTAGCTATGACCTTGAAGCAGCTACTCACCTTCTCTGTGCCTTTGTTTTCTGATTTAAAATGAGGAAAAATGATAGCAAGTTCCAAAAGAGCTCTTGTAAGTGGAAGACTAAATGAGCTGATAGATGTCCATTTACAACCCTATAACTATAGCTTTTATCATTGCTTTTCTTTCAAAAACACTGTATTAGCCTTCCTGGGCTGCTATAACAAAATTCCACAGACTGA